AACGACATCGGCCCGAGACTCGGCCGCCAAAAATCGACAAAGAGGCCCCCAACCCGACGGGCTTGCGGTCTCTATCACAAACTCGCTTCTACGCTTAGCTGTCTGCAGGAGGACAGGGGGACAGGTTGCAGGCAGCTGGGCTCAGGCTCTGATCAGACCCGCGACGGGCTCTCACCCGTGGCCGCCAGAGCTGCCCTGGCGCGCGCCAGAGCGTCAGGGGCAAGCGCATCAGTCGAAGAAGCAGCCGCCGCGGCGCCGACGACGGCCGCCTGCCTCTCCACGGCCGCGCCCTCGAGACCCTTCTGCTCGCCGCGGCCGCCGACATCTCCTCCTTTTACGCTTCTTCTTGAGGCGCTCGGAGTGCTCCTGGTGCTGCTGGACCAGGGCCTCCGCCTTCTCTTTGACCGAGCTGAACAGGTTCTCCGTGACCGACTTGAGCCCCTTCCGCCAGCAGCCGCTTCCGCTCCTCCAGCTGGGACGTGTCGGCAGCGTCCAACTCTTGCACGTCTCCCAAACCAAAGAGACTCTCGTCGTCGACGAAGGTGTCCTGGATGTTGCCGTCCAGGATGTCCCGAATGCACAGTTTCGCAGAGGACGCCAGCGGCGGCGCCTGCTGCTGCGAGCCCAGGGTCTTGGCGCGCAGCGCGGACACCGCTTGCTGGCACTCGGTCTTGGCCGACTCGACGTGGGCGACCATGTCCGTGACCACCTGCTGCTGCTCCGCGTGCTGCTGGGTGAGGCGCTCGAACTTCTCGGTCGCCTCCAGCAGCTGCTTCTCCACATACTGCAACTTGGCATGCGCCTCACCTGCCACGTCATGTGCCGCACGTCCTGGCAGTGAGCGCCGCACTCGCTCTTGCTGACAGGCAATGGCAAGCTGGCCGTTGTTCGTATTGCTGCCCAGCTGCTCCAAACTCTGCAACTCCGCGTCGGAGAGGCTCTTGAGGTCCTGGCCGCCGCCGCAGCCACCAGGACCTCGGGCCCCTGCACGCCAAGGAGCGAGATGGAGACCAGGAGGAGGAAACACACCTTGGCCCAACGGGCCGCCAGGCTGGCCCTCTCGCGGCAAGAAGACCTCTCCCGACGAACGTTGTGTGCCGCAGTGTTTGCACCAGTCCCATTCTGCCTGATTCTTGCCGCACCCGCATGCACACTTCCACTTGGCGCCATCCGCATGATGCCAGCTGCCCGTGTACGTCTGCTGCGCAGCGGCCTTTCCTGCACCTTTGCCCGCTCCCTGCTGCCAGCCCCTGTGGAACGACATGGCTGTACGCTCTGCAGGGTGCGAAGAAAAATTATTCCCGCTTGTGGGCCTTTGGCGGCCCTCGGAGAGCGGTGCGTGCAGGCCCTGTGCCTGGCGTCTCGAGCCCCAACCCCAGGGGAAGGGACGCCCCCAGGCGACGGCTTGAGCCAGATGGCTACGGCCCTCCTCCTCATCATCCTCCCTCTCCACCTCCTCCTCCTCCTCCTCCTCCTCCTCCTCCTCCTCCTCCTCCTCCTGCTCCTCCTCCTCCTCCTCCTCCTCCTCCCTCCTCCTCTCTCCTCCTCTCCTCCTCCTCCTGCTCCTCCTCCTCCTCTCCTCCTCCTCCTCCTCCTCCTCCTCCGCCATCGCATCCTGAGCCTCGCCCCGTCCTCGTCCTCCTCCCCCTCCTCATATTAGTAGTATTATTAGTAGTAGTAGTATTATTAGTATTATCATTACTATTATTATTAGTATTATTATTATTAGTAGTAGTAGTATTATTATTATGATTATTAATCTTATTATTATTATTATCATTATTATTATTAGTAATAATATTATTATTATTATGATTATTATGATTATCATCATCATTATTATTAACAATATTATTATTAGTAGTAGTATTATTAGTATTAGTAGTAGTAGTATTATTATTAGTAATATTATTATCATTATTAGTATTATTATTATTAATAATAATACGAGTAGTAGTATTTTTATTAATATTATTATTGTTGCTGTTATTATTATTATTAGTATTATTATTATTAGAAGTGGTAGTAGTAGTAGTATTAGTAGTAGCATTATTATTTTTGTCATTATTATTGTTATTATTACTATTGTTTTTAATATTATTAGTAGTAGTAGTAGTATTGTTATTATTGTTGTTATTAGTATTAATATTATTATTAATAATATTATTGTTATTATTATTAGTAGTCGTCTTATTTTTTCGTCTTATTCGTCTTCCTAATAATCGTTTTCTTCTTCTTCTTCTTCTTATCCGCCTTCTTCTTCTTAGGAGTCGTCTTCGTCTTCGCCATATTATTATTATTATTATTCTGATTATTGTTAGTATTATTCTTCTTATTATTATTAGTAGTATTATTAATCTTATTCTTATTCGTCGTATTCGTATTCATATTCTTATTATCAGTCTTTTTGTTATTCTTATTATTATTATGCTTAGTATTATTCTTCCTCTTCGTATTATTATGATTATGAGTATTATCATTGATAGTATCACTTGTATTCTTTTTTATAATATTCGTCTTATTATTCATATTAGTATTATTATTATGTTTCGTCTTCTTCTTCGTGTTACTATTATTCTTCTTGTTCTTAGTATTATTCTTATTGGTATTATTCATAGTCTTATTATTATTAGTAATATTCTTATTAGTATTCTTATTAGTCGTATTGTTATTCTTATTAGTATTATTATCATTAGTCTTGCGCTTCTGATTATTAGTATTAGTATTACTATTATTCTTCTTATTATTATTCTTACTAGTATTATCATTATTCTTATTATGTTTCTCCTTCTTCTTCTTATTCCTCCTCCTCCTCCTCCTGCTCCTCCTCCTCCTCCTCCGCCTGCTCCTCCTCCTCCTCCTCCTCTGTTCCATGCTGACATTGTCTTGCTTCTGCGGCCAAAAAGTGCCACATCCAATCCTCCGCCTCTTCCTCCCCCTCTTCCTCCTACTCCTCTTCCTCCTCCTCCTCCTCGTCCTCCTCCTCCTCCGCATTCACTCAAAATTGGTCCGCGGACCCCTCCAGGGCCCATCCTGTGCAATCCATTATCCCAGGATCCATGTTTGCTGGCCCCCATGGGCCCATGAGATCCCCAAGAAGCCCCCGGAAACATCCAGTATGCCTTCGAGGAGGGAGGAAGTAGAAAAACAAAACAAAAAAAAAAAAAAAAAAAAAACAAGGAGAAACGTCGTTTTCGTCGTCGTCGTCGCCCATGTTGAGTCGATTCCGGAGCGCCCCGGATCGGTGGCGCAGGCCGGAAGCCACTACAACACACACACACATATAAATATATATATATATATATATATATACATATGTGTGTATACACATATATATATATAAATATATATATATACATACATATATATATGTATGTATATATACATATATATATATAAATATAGATGTGTGCGTGCGTGCTCTCTCTCTCTCTCTCTCTCACACACACACATACGTGTTCCACCTTATGTTTATGCAGCAAGAAAGGCGCACAGTGAATCAACGAAACCACTTCGGAATCATGCCTCGCACAGCATAAGACTTGATCAGATGCGCGCAAAGAGCTACGCTTGCAAATGGTATAAACCGTCAAAGGAGCTCCTTGAGCACTGCACCATGTGCAAGCCCACGAATCCGCCCCTTTGTTCCAATATGCCCACTGGGCGGAACGAATGCGGCGCGTTGAGGCAGAAGTGCCAACCTTGCGCTTGCGCGCGTGCGATTGCTTCCGCAAATGCGCCGAAACCCGATCCATAATCTGCGTCCCCGACGTAATCTACAGAAACTCGCCAGTCGGCAAACTGTGGGCCAAAAACCTCAGATAACTTCGGCTTCATCCAAAATGTCACCCCTCGGCGCGTTACCTGTTCCTTCTTCGCGCGGACAACACTGTCGCGCAGAACTTTCGGAATCTTGAGCTTATGCGTTTTCGCCCCGTCTGCGTGCAGGACGACCACTCGGTTCGCAAGGTCTCGCTTGGTAATGGGCTTCCAGTCGCGCTTGCGGATTAGGCCAGGCCCAGAGGCACGCCGCTTCGTCCTGCATGGGTCAGACGCGCCAGGACCAAAATGTTCGGCCTGCCTCGCTCAACTAATCCTCCCCGCTGTTCCAAACGCACCGGACTTGATGTTTGTCCTTCTTCATGCCACGCTTCATCTTGGCGCTGCCCAGACAAACGTAGGCATTATCGATGGGCTGGTTGTCATTACCAAATATCGGGTGGCACGTGCTCTACGCCACGCCTCGGGTCGCACACATGCAGACAGCCGCCTTGTCCGCGAATCGCGTTGATGCGTTGCCCAGCTAGATGAAAATACCAGATGATTGCGAAGGGCAACACAAACTTCTGGCACCTTTTCCTCCCGCATCGGTAGCTCGGTGTTCTGCTAGGAAGATTTCCCAATGGGCCCGAATGCCCCCGCCCGCGCCGGGGGCAGTCCTCGCCGCGCCAACCGCCAAGATGGCCACTCGCGGTGGGCTGCTTCACGAGTCCCATCGAAGCGGCTGTGCACACGGTCTTCAGGGAACACTGGATAGCAATATGTTCCAAGCGAGATGCGATAGTCTCAAGCCCGCGTCGAACGCGCGGCACGCATGGGGTCTCATGCTTCGCTGCTGGCCTTTTTGCGACATTCATGACCACGAGCGTCTTCCCGCGCATAGGCATGCAAGACTGAAGTGCAGCGGGCCTCTTCGTGCACGGCCGAGTGGACCCGGCGACCAAATCCGAAACATCAGCCTCGGCTCGGAGCAGGCAGACGCGGCGTCGGCCATCGCCCAAATGCGCAACCAAGTCGCATAGAGCCTCGTCACCAACTTGCACGACGATTTCCTGACTTGAGTCGCACGCCAACATCATCGGCGACCCCGCGGGCATTAAGACAAATCGCACGTCCACGAATTCCTGGCGCGCCGATATACAGCACAAAATGATGCATGGGAGCCACGCAGCTCACGTCGCTAATCAGCACCTCGAAGAACCCGAGAGGGGGTGGAGCTTCTACAAGTGCCGGCAAGAGTACGGGCCGCTAGCGAACCCTGCCTGGCTCGGCCGCCCAGCATCTAAGTCCACGTCTGTGAGAGCACAGATGACGCACATGCTCGCGCCGGGGACCACCTCGAGCGCACCGCCGTCCAACTTCTCGCACGCGGACGCCAAGACGGAAGAGAAGTCTCCTCGGCAACTGCGACCTAGACTGCGGCCGCCTGGCTCGGGAGCGGCGCCCCCCCCAATGAATCTAAATTCTCTGGGCGCAGAGATACTCCGCGGCCGGCCGGCTTCGATCGCAGACGCACGCGCGATGGCGCTCCCGTCGCGCGCGTCAAGCCCCATCGGTCTGAAATAGCTACCATGGTAAACTAAGGAGATCGACACGGCACCTACTTCCCCCAACAATTGATCCACGGCCACGAGGGCCCTGCACCCCAGCTCGCCGAGGAAAATGCGCAGCGAGCTGCAATCTGGCCGCGCCTCCGCGACCCCCTGGCAAAGGTCGTCGTGCTCGAGCAGAAACCGAGGATTGCCGATTTCCGTTTGCAAACATACCCAGCGCCGGAGCCAATCAGGCCGCTCCTGCGAATTTGGCGACTGCCGCCCGCACGGGCGACCTCCCGCTCTCCCGCTCTCCCGCTCTCCCGCTCTCCCGCTCGCTCTCCCGCTCTCCCGCTCTCCCGCTCTCCCGCTCCCCGACTGCCTCCAAAAGGTTAAGCTCCCTCCGCTTGCATCCGAAAGTACCACAGAAGAACGAAAGACCGCAAAGAAGCTCAGGTCGACCACAGGGGGGACCATACATAAATCTATACACATACATACATACATACATACATACATACATACATACATACATACATACATACATGCGTGCGTGCGTGCGTGCGTACGTACGTACGTACGTACGTACGTACGTACGTACGTACGTACGTACATACATACATACATACATACATACATACATACATACATACATACATACATACATATTTACATACATAAAGACAGACAGACAGACAGACAGACAGACAGACAGACAGACAGACAGACAGACAGACATGCATGCATACATACATACATACAGAAAGACAGACAGACAGACAGACAGACAGAAAGACAGACAGACAGACATGCACACACACACACACTCACAGACAGACAGACATACATGCATGCATACATACGTGCGTGCGTACGCACGTGCATACATACATGCATACATGTGTACATGCATGCATACATACATACATACATACGTACGTACAAATATACACATACATACACATGCATACACATACATACACATACATACGCATACATACGGATATACCAACATACATGCAAACTTACACTCATACATGCATCCATTAATGCATACATACATACATGCATGCAGACATGGATACACATACACACAGGTAGACATGCATACATACATACGTACGTGCAGCCATACTTATATGCACACATGCATCACAAACATGTGTATATACATGCATACCTACCTACATACATACTTACATGCACACATACACACACACAGACAGGACGCACATGCGCATACATGCGCACGTACGTACGCACACACATACATAGACGCACACATACACGCATACATGCATATGCATACATACACAAGCATCCACATACATGCACATGCATACGTATACACAAACAAACATAACAAACCGACATGCATGCATACCTACCTACATGTATACATATCTGCATATCCACACATATATACATATACATATGCATACATACATGCACGCATACAGATCTTACATACATAAATACATACATGAATACATACATACATATGTAATATACCGTCCCCGTCCTGCACATCTAGATGCATGTCTATACAATTTCATGAATACACATGCACATACATACATGCATGCATACATATATATATATAAATAGATATAAATATATATAGAGAGAGAAGAGAAGAGAGAGAGAGAGAGAGAAAAAAAAAAAAAAAAAAGAGAGAGACACACAGAAACGGAGAGAAAGAGACAGAGAGAGATCAGAAGGTGCGAGGGCTTCTGATAAGTCGCGCCGCTTTCTGAGAGGGCCTTCTCCTTCTCTCTTCCCCCTCCCTCGCTCGTCGCCGACCTCCCCCCCACCAACCATATACTCACCAGCATCGATGGGAGGCTACGTGCTCGGCGCACTCCGAGCCCGGCAGGCGGTCTGCCGAAGCAAGGAACGAGACGGATGGGGAACGAGGCCCGAGATTGGCCCCCAGGAAGTGTCACCGTGCACGAGCAAGGCTCGAGGAACAGCGACGGAAGGGCCTAAGAAGCATCGAGCCTCTTCCGAACCCGAGCTGCTCCTCATGTCCCGCCGCCCGTCGAGAGGCCCGAATCGCGGATCGCGAGGGTGGGCCTTCGGGTTTCGCATTCCACCCTTCTGCGCAGGCGATCGGTGACTGGGCATAGAAGGACCCCTAACCCTTTGGGAGGCGACCCAGGTTGGGAGGGCCAGAACATTCGGGACAGGGGGCCTTCTGCACAGATGTATCAGACCAAACCGGCCAGATCTACGTTCCCTGATGCAATGACGGGGACCTCAACGAGGCCATGCCTTCACTGTGTTGCTACCAGGGTTCGGAACCATCTGATCCTCGATGACCTCACATTCCGACGCCCCCCGAGATGCCCGAAGCGCGGATCGGCGAGGGCGGGGCCCAGATGCCGCATCCGACCCTCTTGCGCGCAGGCGATCGGGGCCCGCGGGAGGTGAGGTGTGTGTGTGGAGAGCCGCCGAGCCCCCAAAGAAGCCCAGGCCGCCGCGCCACCGAGGCCGCCGGCACGCGCCTCGGTGCCTGCTTCGGCCAGCTTCGGATCGACGCCTGCCGCAACGACTGCGCCAGCGCAGCGAGGGAAAGAGAGGAGCGAACGCACGCGCCGAGTCCGCCCGCCAGGCGGCCAGCAGGCCACCTGGGGGCAGCGCGGGTGGGCCGGGGCCCGCTTGTTGCTCTTGCTGGACGAGGGCGCGTGTCCCACGCAGAGTCGGAGTCGGAGCCGGAGCCGGAGAGGTGGGAAGGGACCGAGAGTCGGAAAAGAAATAGGAGCCGGAGTCGGAACCAGCATTGGGGGGGAAAGAGAGGGGTCTCGCGCGAGACGGCACACGCCGCGGCCTCACGCATTGGCTCACGCGGGCCGCGGGCGCGGCACGCCACACCGGAGGCGAGGCGCCTACGCGCGACCTTCCGTGGGCAGCTCGCGCACTCGGCGCCGTCGAGGCCGATTCCTTGCGTCGCTCAATTGGCCTTGACGGTCATGAGAGGATCCGTGGCTCGAAGCGGCCCAAATGCGCTTTGCATGTGGGGCGATCTTCCCATCCGGCGACCTCTTGAGGCCAGTCCAGTCCCGCAAGGCCTGGGAGCCGCGAGCCCCGACACAGCGCACGCGCGTCCAACGCCCAGACGTCGCAATGCACCAGCGAGAGGCTGCACTTGCAACGGCCCAATCATGTGCAGAATCGAGACGCAACTACTGTGACCGGGAGGCTCTGGATCTGCACCAGCTGCACGCAGAGACTGCGCTGCAGCCGATCAACGGCACGGCGTTGCCCCCACCCCTTGCGCTCCAAGATGACGAAGTTGCGTCCCTGGCCATCGCTCGGACGTGCATTTCCTGTGTTTTTGTCGGTCTCGTGCGTGGCTTTTTCGCCAAATGGTCGAGGATGCTCCTCGGAGGTCCTCGCCGAGAAAAAAATGCACACGTCCGAGCGATGCCAGGGTCCGATGGGCGGGGAAAGAACAGGAATTGGAGGCCTGGAAATGGGCACCAACACCAAAACAGGGGGCTGCCTCCACAGGGGGAAGACGATCCTAGATCTCGGTGGTGGTGGTAATATCTCGGTCACCTTGGAAGCCAGAATCTTACCACCACCACCGAAATTGGGATCTTCTTCCCTCGGTGGAGGCATACCGCCGATCTTGGCGTTGGTGTCAACCTCTGGGCCTGCGATAGGAAGTCGGAGGAGACGGAGGGACCCGAAGCTCGGGTCGGGCGAAAGGGGGGGATAGCAAAGGGGGGGTTTGAGAATCAGCCCACGTAGCTGATTTTCCCGGCGCCTCCCGGCGCCGGGAGGCGCCCATGTATCGAGGCATGGGCCCCTCCGTGGGGCCGAAACCAGCTGCATGCAGCAAATTTCGTAACCCCCCCTTTCCCAATCCCCCCCTTTCGTCCGGCCCGAGAAGCCTGCTCGACACGTCCTGGAGCAGGGCGCGTGCCGCGTGCCCGCCCCTGCCGCGTGGCCGCGCGGCCCGCGCCGCCTCGACGCACAAAGGGGCGCCCACAGTCGCCAGGGCGCACGGCCACGAGGATGCGCACTTACGCCCGCTTCGCCGTGCTGCGTTCGTGGAGGAGGGAGGAGGGAGGAGGGAGGAGGGAGGAGGGAGGAGGGAGGAGGGAGGTGGGAGGAGGGAGGAGGGAGGAGGGAGGGAGGGAGGAGGATGCGCACTTACGTGAAGGGGAACTGGGACACACAAAGAAATACACACAAACAAAACGATTCCCCAGATCTTCCCATATTTTTTCTGGGTGTCTGTCTTCCCCCCCGCTCCCCACAGTTTCCCATATGTTCTGGGGAATCGCCGATGGATTGTGTCTGTGTGCTTCTTTCCCTCCTGATTACGCCCGCTTCGCCGCGCTGCGTTCGTGACGGGCCCCTGCCTCTCAGAGGCCCCGCGGACCCTGCCCAGAGGCCTCCCAGATGGGGTCCGAGCAGATGGGGTCGGAGGCTTGCGCCGCATCGCCGATGTACCGGCAATGCAACGGCGATGTATCGGCGACGTCGGCAGTGCGTCGGCGGTGCGGCGCGATCCTCCGACCCCATCTGCGCCAACCCCATCTGAGGGCCTACACCCTGCAAAACGCTGAAGAAATCATGGGCTGAGAGATTCAGAGTCTCAGAATTCCAATGAAAACCCAGAATTCCTGCTAAAGTCTTAGGGCTTCCATTGAAGCATGAAGAATTATCGAGACTCTGGCCGAAAACTGAAGTTCTCTTAAGCATCGCCTAGGGTGTATACGGGACGTCAAAACGACCACAGCCACTGCTTTTCTTTTGTTGCCGCCTTCAAGGTTGGGCGCCCCACGGGGGCTGTAGCCGCAGAGTGTCCCGAAAGGGGCGACACGAAAAGCAGATTGGCAGGAACTGCTTCCAACAGTTTCCACAAACCCCCACCGCCAAAAACAGATTCAGCGAGAGTGTTGGCCGACAGCTGCCCGTGAAGGTTGTAAAAATGTGCGAACCGTGCGCGCGGCGCTTCCGCGCTGTCTGCACTGCCCAGGCATATTTTTCGGCACGCGCAGCGTGCTGCATCTGGCTTGGGCATATGACCGCTCTCTGCGGGATGAGAGCTGGGATTTGTAAAGATATCAGGCTCCTCTACCGCTCTCAAGACATCATCCTGCGCACTACTCGCCACCCCGTCCATCCCCTCCCTTTCCCTAGTCTCTTTCCCCTCCAATCCCCCTCCCCTTGCCTTCCATACCCTCCATCGTGCTTGCCCTCCCCACGTTCTGCTCCTCCTCCCGTCCTCCGCCTATCCGTCCTTCTGCATCCCTCCCGACGCTGCTGCTGCCCCTGGCCCCCTCCTCCCTGTCCTCGCTTTCGTCACCGTTTCAGGTCTCCCTCGTCCTCCTACCCCTCCGAATCCGCCCTCCTCTGTCTCATCCCTTGTGCTCATCCTCCCCCGGCCTCCTCATCTCATCTCCCTCCCCATCCTCATCCTTACCACCGGCATCATCATCGTTGCCCTCATCCTGCCCTCCCCTCCCCCCTGGTCTCTCGTACCTCGCCGCCACTACCTCCCCCCCCTCCTCCCTCCCCCCCCTCCTCCTCTCGTCCCGTGTTCAGCCCTCAATCCTACATCCCCCCATCCCTCCCAACCTCCCCTCATCCCTCCTTCCTTCACCCATCCCCTCCCATCCCTCCTTCCCCCATCCTTCCCTCCTCCCCTCATCCCTCCCCTCCTCCCCCCTCATCCCTGCGCCCCCTCCATCATCCCTCCCCCCCCGCCCTCATACCTCCCATCCCTCCCCTCCATCCTCCCCTCGTCCCTCCCTCCCCTCCCCTCCCCGACATCTTCCCCGCCCCGCTCGTTATTCTCATTCACCTGTGCGCTTTTTATATGCCTCTTCAGTTTCTGTGTTTCCCCCCTCCTCCACCTTCCCTCCGGTCGCCTCCCCCCTCCTCCGTTATCCTTCTCCCCCGCCCCCCCCCCCGCCCCTCGCACCTCCATTACCCCCTTGGCGGCCAAAGGCTCCATCTACAGATGAAGGGCACTCGTTGGCAACGGTGGTCCCCATCCACAAAATTAAGGAAACTGTATATATGACCCTGGCCCCCCCCATCTACAGATTGGTTGGCAATCTGTATATGACCCTGGTCCCCCCTATCTACAGATTGATTGGCGATCTGTATATGAGTGGGTCCCCCTGTATACAGATTAATTGGCAATCTGTATATGGAAGGCCGTTCTGGGCGCCACCATGAGAAACAAAATGCCCGAATCTGTCAACAACAGTGTCGCGGAGGGCCCTGGCCCACAGGTGGCCCTCGCACAGGCAGCTGTGCCGGGCTTGTGGGGGCCAGGGGGCCCGAGCAGGGGGGGGTCCTCCCGGGGTGGGTCGCCCTGGCGGCTCCAACAGGTCTCCAGGCACAGGCCCCTGCAGACGGCGCACCTGGCGCACTTGGCACACTTGGTGTGCCTGGCGCACGTGGCGCGCCTGGCGCACAGGCCTGGGGCGCCTTCGGCGCCGTGGCTGGATCCGCCCCGAAGTTCTGGTCGAAACGCACCCCTGGAGGAGCAGGAGCAGGAGCAGGAGGAGGAGGAGGAGGAGGGGGAGGAGGACGACGAGTAGGAGGAGGAGCAGGAGCAGGAGGGGAGGGGCAGGAAAAGGAGGAGGAGGGGGAGCAGAAAGAGGAGGGGGAGGATGATAAGACGAAGGAGGGAGGAGGAAGGAGGAGGGGGAGGAGGAGAAGGGAGGAGGAGGAGGAGGAGTAGGAGGAGGAGGAGAGGAGGAGGAGCAGCAGGAGGAGGAGGCTGGGTCGACTTCGAGGCCCAATATCGAGGAGGGTCGAGTCTCGAGGTCCGGGGTCTTCGGACGCCTCTGGCCCTCCCTGCGCTCCTGGGAGCAGCCAGAAACCTCCACGGGGAGGCCCCACGGAGGCCGCCGCAGGCCTCAGGAGGCCTCCAGGGGACTCCCGGGGGAACTCCGTAAGATGCCCAGGACGAGGCTCCTGGACGAGGTGAGGGAGAGGAGGATGAGGAGGAGCAGCAGCAGCAGCACGAGGATGAGCAGGAGAAGCAGGAGGAGGAGGAGCAGGCGGAGGAAGAGGAGAGGAGCAGGAGGATGAGCAGGAGTAAGAGGAGGAGAGAAGGAGGAGCAGGAGGAGGAGGAGGATGGGGAGGAGGAGGAGGAAGAGGAGGAGGAAGATGGGGACCGAGGCTCGAGAATCGGGTCTCCTGGACGTTCCCCGCCCTGTGGGCCTCCGCAGGCCTCCGGGGAGCTCCCGCGGGGGGGGGCCTCCGGAGATCTCGGGGGACCTCCTGGGACTTCGGGGATGAATCTCAAGCGCGTGCCAACCATCACAAGTACGTTCAGCCACCAGGTGACGATCGCGCTGTTGGCAAAATCGAGCATACGAACTTGAAATAAACAGATTGGGCCATTATGTTTTTGACGGTGCTGGGTTTTGCAAACTGTTGGCAACAGTTTGCCTTAATCTGCACCACTGGGGCCCTGGTTCTGCGGCCGCGCGCATTTGCAGCCCCCCAGGGGAGTCCAGCCAGCAGAAACAAAGCAGTGGCTGTGGTCATTCTCGTTGAGCTTGGCAGGCACCAGGGAAACGACCACAACCACTGCTTCTTTTTCGCCTGGCTGGAAGGCGGCGCAGACAAGAAGCAGTGGCTGTGGTCGTTTTCCCGTCCCGCAGTGCAGACCGGCCCCCCGTGCCCCCCCCCCCTGCGCCCGTGCGGCACCCTGGCGCCGCGCCTCGGCCCTGCAGGGGCCGGAGCTTGCACGCCGATCCGCCAAGCCCGGGGGCCCCACGGGGGGAGGCGCCGCGGCCGCGCGGGACCTCGCTGGGCCCCGCCGGGCCCGCGCAGATCTTCGGACATCCACTGCCCGCTTCCCGGGGCCCGCCTCCCGGGGCCCACCCCGATCCGCCAGGCCTGGGGGGCCCCACGGAGGGAGGCGCCGCGGACGCGCGGACCCCCGCGGGCCCCTGCCGGGCCCGCGCAGATCTTCGGATCTCCACTGCCCGCCTCCCGGGGCCCGCCTCCCGGGGCCCTGGGGCGTCGGCTCCCCGGGCAGCGGAGGCGCACGGCCGGGCCCGGGCCAGAAGAGCATCCCTCGAGAGCATGTGGCCGCCCGTCGGCCAGGGCGAGGAGCACTCGAGGGTACCCTCCCCGGGGGGGGCACAAGCACATCCAACAAGCACGAAGAACCTTGGGGTACCCTCCCCGAACCGATCTCGATCTTATCCCTCGGTCCGACTGGATCAACTCCAGCCCCCCAGGTCATGCGCATACACGTCCACGAAGCCGAGACAGACCGAATCCGACGGACCGAAAGCAGCCCAGAGAGACGCAGACGGCAGCCGACCGAACCGAGGCGACCGAGCGCAGCCGACCGCGAGGAGGCAGCCGACCAAACCGCGTCGCGGACACCCTCGCCGCTGAGGCCAGAGCCCTCCATGGGGTAGGCGAACTCGACCTCGAAGCCATACCCGTCCAGGTAGGTGCCTTGCCGCTCGCGCGCCGAGCGGGGTCGAGGAGCAGCGGCGGCGGAGGCAGTGCCACGAGGCGGCGGCGGCGGGAGCAGCTCCTGGAGGCAGGAGGAACAGAGCTGGCTCGGAGCAGAGGCCGTGCATGCGGAGTGGGTATGGCTGCGCTTCCCTCCTCACGGGGGACGAACATGCCCACACGCCACGCACGTGCCCTCGCGGCTTCGACACCGAGGCGCGATCCCGAGGACGCAACCCCATGGATGCGCGCCACGCCCCCGCGCAAGGCCAGCCTGTGTCCTTGGGATCGCGGCCCGATGAATCCGCGACCGCGAAGCAGCGGGCGTGGACATGTCCCCCTCCCACGTGATCCAATCCCTGCAGCTCCCCGAATTGTCCCTCCACCTGCCTCGGGCCGCTGCAGCTCAGCCTCCCGTCAATCGCGCAGGCTCGATTTACCGACGCAAGCAGCGTGGACCGTTGAGGGCCCCGGCTGCCATACCACTCGGCTTCATCCTGGTCCGCGGACCGGTCCGCCCGTAGGGTGTCCCAGCAGGAGGAGGGAGGAGGAGGAGGAGGAGGAGGAGGAGGAGGAGGAGGAGGAGGAGGAGGAGGAGGAGGAGGAGGAGGGGGCCACTTGCGAACCCTACCCCTACCCTCCCACGATTTCTGTGAGCCCATGCGCCGAGCTGAATTCGGCTCGCTGAGATTATGCGGAGGGCCCGCGACGGCGCAGATGATACAATAACTGGACGCCGTCGCGAGGCTCACCTTTCCTATATGTTGTGCGCCTTGGCGACGTACGGGAGATACGGGCCTGGCCTCTTTTTTTCCTCGTTGTAGTTATCCAGGTCCGCCTTCATCCTAGACCTGTTTGGTCCCAACGCCCCCGAGGCTTGTGAGACAGTCGCGAGACCTCGTGGCGAGTGTTTCAGCTGATAACCAGCAGTTTGCCTAGTAATGTCCGTGTTAGGGGATATGCAGGCCCGTAGGCATTTGTTAATGATGATATTGTTGTTCATGTTGTTGCTCTAATATCTAGTAGTTGTCCCAAGCCTGGCATCGGGGAAATGGACCTCCTCGTCGTCATGGCTATGGTGTCCGTTAAGCAATACTGCGACAAGCATCTAAAGAGCGGGCCGGCCGAGGGAAAGGAGGCGGGGCGCGCGCGCGGGTCCTCTAGTCTCACAGCAGAAATGTGTCTATATGCGCAAACAGGCGCCGCCGACCTTCTGGAGGGGGTCGGCGGCGCAGCCAAAGGGGGCGAGGGAAATTCGCAGAGCGTGCAGCACTTCGCGGCTGTGCTGGCGCAGGACTCTTTCGTCGGCGGCGCCCGCGGTGGCGAGCGCGGTGGGGCGAGTCCGCCAGGGCGCGCAATGGTCGCGCCGAGCGCGCGGAGCAGGGGGGAAAACACAGAACCGCCACGGAGGAGGCAGGAGGCGCCGGGCTCCAGAGCAGGACACGCCCGCGGACGACGCTGGTGGGACCCGTGGAAGCCCTCGGTGGGCAGCGCCCGGACCGCCGAGTCGGCGGGTGAGGGGCCCGCCGAGAGTCGGCGGGTGAGGGGTCCGCAGACGGCGCCGGGCTCCGGAGCAGGAAACGCCCGCGGACGATGCTGGTGGGACGCGTGGAAGCCCTCGGTGGGCAGCGCCCTGCGCCGCGGGGCTGGGACCTCCAGGGAGCGCGCCGAACCCGAGCAAGCGGCTACGGCAACACTGCCGCGCGCCCTCGGTGTCGCCCCGGTCACGGCCCCCTAGGGGCCTTCAGCGTGGTGTCTTTCCTCCTCCTCATCCTCCTCATTTTCATCCTCCTCCTGCTGCTCCTGCTCCTCGTCATGCTGCTCTCCTCCTCCACCTCCTTCTCCTCCTCCTCCTCCTCCTCCTCCTCCTCCTCCTCCGCCCTCTTCCACCTCCTCCTCCTCCTCCGCCCTCCTCCTCCTCCTCCTCCTGCTCCTCATCATCCACCTCTCCTTCCTCTTCCCTCCTCCTCCTCCTCCTCCTCCTCCTCCTTCTCCTCCTCCTCGTCCATCCTCCTCCTCTTCCTCCCTTCCTCCGCCCTCTTGCTCTTCCTCGTCCTCATCCTCATACTCATAGTCGTCCCCCTCTTCCTCGTCCCCCTCCTCCTCATCCTCATTTTCCTCATGCTCCTCCTCATATATACATTGTATATATATATATATATATCATGTTAGCCCTCCTTCTCCTCCTAAAACTCATCCTCCTCCTCGTTCTCCTCCTCCTTCTCATCATCAGTATCCTTATCATTATTTTTATTCCTCTTCATCTACGGTACTACGACTACTACTACTACTACTACTACTACTACTACGACTACTACTACTACTACTACTACTACTACTACTACTACTACT